ACCAAATCAAACAGACGGTAAACCATGGGAACAAGGACTGGTGATGGTGTGGGGATGTGTGACATGTGTGGGGGTGGGTTCATACACAAGATTGACGCACGCATGGAGAGGCCCCTGTATGAGGGCATTTTGCATGACAAACTCAAATTGACCCTCCATTTCTTTAGCATTTTCCCCTCTTAGGTCATCTTGGTGCAGACAATGACCCAAGGAATTTGTTAGGCCTAGTGCTAGAATAACTTGGAGAACATGAGTATGTAGCCCTGGAGTGGCCTTCTTTCTCATCAAACCTCACCCTCTGGGCTTACTTGAAAAGGGAGCTAGCCAAGCATAGAAGGCCTTCCTCTGGAATGCTGGAGCTTTAAGAGCTGGTCCAGGAAGAATGGGAGAAGATGCATGCCGAGGTTTGCTCTAGCCTCATCGACAGCTTGCCCAGGAGGGTCCGGGCGGTGGTCAAGGCCAAAGGTCGGTGGGCTAGGAACTAGAAACACACCTTTGAAGTTTGCTCTCTCTGCTTGGAATTATTTGTCCGGATGTACCCTTTGTACATCTTTAGGGATATGATTTAGATCCAATGAACTATTCTGGATCTTTATGCTATGAACACATCCACTATGTGCCCCTCCCAAATCGTACCACCATAAAATATTAAGGTTTAATGTATAGTGGTCGTAAAGCCCAAAAACCCAAATTAATGCAAAACATGTGGACAATTGTTTCCGCCACTGTATTACAAATCGTAAGCACAATTACCTTCCGTGTTTCGCCGCTCCGTATTACTCTAGGGATTCGTCATCTGTTTGTAAGAATCGCTCTCTTGTTATCGATGACATTTCTTTTGACCCTAATGATTGAACTCTTGCCTCTTGTTTTACAGGTATGGCTTTGGATAGTTTACTCAAGCTATGGCAACCTAGCTCCAAACCACTCAGCTTGAGCATCTTCTTACAAGCCCCTTCATCGGCCTGAGCCTTGACGAGAGCACCGACCGCTGTCGTGGCAAACACATGATCGTGTTTGCCACGTTCATCCACCAAGAGAGACTTGTGACTGAGTTCCTCACATTGCTGACAGTCGAAAAGGCTGATGCCGCATCGCTTCTTGCCCTCCTCCTCTCCCACATCCGTGCCATTGGGGTTGACCTCCGTCGGATTTCAGGCATCAGCACCGACGGAGCTGCTGTGATGATGGGTGCTAAGGGGGGGCTTGTAGCGCGCTTGCGCGTCCACATCCCCCACCTGGTGTCGTGCCACTGCATCGCACATTGGTAATTAGTTTGGTTTTTTCTATGCATGTTTGTGCGTACAATATATATGTATCGATACGTACACTTTTTGTTTTTTTGTGTATGAAGGGAGGCACTAGCTGTCAAGGCGGCAGCAGAGAACATCCCTGCACTGAACATGGTGGATGATCTCATCCGCCAGCTTGCCGAGCTTCTTGGGCGATCGGGACCTTGGCATCAGCGCTTCCTCAACCTTCAGGAGCTCTTCACCTCAACCAACCTAGAGCTCCAGGGTATTCACGCCATCAGGTGGCTTTCACGCGGTGAGGCTATCCTTCGTCTTCTTGCTGTTCTCCCTTCGGCACTGTCAAAGTGAGCATGCCGAGCAAGAAGGGAAAAGAGAACGTGGACGAGGATGTAAATGCTGAGGGAGAGCAGGAAGAGACAGCAACAGCAGCAGCCATGGAGTGCCCTGTCGACGATGTGTAATTGTGGTTTTTAAATGGTGTTTTTTTCACTTCAGCGTAGTTTTCTGTGTAAACACTGAATGAGCAGAAACATTGAAGAAACATCTTGTTTTTTACCATCAGCATTGACACATCAGGGGAAAGTAGGGGGGGATGGCTGATTGATCAGGGTACCTCTAAACGAATCTTAGGCCCTGGTACAACCCTACCTTTATAACCCTCGACATTTTCCCTTAGTTCATAATTCTCTCGACAATCTAACACTTTGTTGCAAATTACCGGTTCATTGGGGACCATTTGGCGAACTGAGACGGCGGCCACATTCTGGTCCGCGAGGACCATTTGCTCCAAAACGGCGCAAAGAAAGTCAACGCGCAAAAAGTGAAGGCGCTCTCATCATTTTCTTGTTAACTTTTGCCGAGTGGGATTGCTGGGCGAACATGTACACAACTTGGAAACTACTCGTCGAGAAAGCATTATTCGTTCACGAATCCGTCGAGCTAATAACCAAGCATCAGCCTTCGCAAATACAGTCAATACGGCAGTTGGCGAAACGTATGAACGAGTTACAAACGTTCGGGCATCTCTCTTTTATCGGTGCTGGAAAGTGACTGCGATATATCGCGCATCACACCAACATGACGGATCGATGCGCGACGATTCAGCAGCTCTCGAATTTGGCAGATCTTGCATTTATTACGTGTTACAGAACGCGCACCGGGTAACAGATGGGTGTAGACACCGGATTACATACCAGCGATCTCGCAAACTAACCAAATGTTCTACGCCCCAAGGGCGCATTCCCACGAAGTTGGATCTGCTCAAAGTTGGATCTAGACCCACCAAAGTCGGAACGGCGTAATGCAACAACGCGGATCTGGCGACTCTCGTTATGAATTGGCCTCGCATGACATTCGGATTGGTTGGGCGACACGTCCAGTCCAACCGAAAACGGGTGGTGTGCGAGTGTAACGAGCGGCTAGTTGGTGGTCACGAAGCAGTGTGCCAATGCGCACCGCGTGTCAACCATACCGAGACTCAAATGTCAGGTAGTCAAATGGCGGGTGGTTCTCATTTTTTTTTTTTTAGTACTGTATCTGTTAGCTCCTAGTGGCTTGTTCGGTTGGAATTTGTCGCCGTCGTCCGGCATTTCATCGATACTGTATACTGTACTCCCAGTGGCGTTTTCTGTAGCGCCAAACCTAGCTTTGTCAATTCTGCCCCGCACTCTTGCACGCGTCACATACCGTACTCCGAATGCAGACAAGTGGTGGCCGTCAGGGCCTTGCGACGTCGCAACCAAGGCATATGTTATAAGGAGATTTGCCTTGACTTGACTGAAATTTGAAGGTAATTTTCAGACCAGCCCTGATTTTCTCCGGGTTCTTTTCCACCCAGCCCTGACAAAATCCGGGAGGATCCCAAGGCGTTCCTGGAATCTCAGAGTAGATTTTTTGGTAACGCTGATTTTTCCCACTACCCACACCCTCCCTTTCCCGATGCCCCCCCCCCTAGAATACAAATTTCTCCTACTCTCCTAACACCCGTCACTCTTCCTAGGACCCGGCTGCCAGGCTTCTAGTTGGGAAGGAGTACTTCCCACACACCCATAGAACATATGTGACTCCTATGAGCCGCGGAGCATGGAACAACCTGAAAAAGAATCCTTGGAAATGTGCCCCCTCCGAGCATTTCTTCGGCCGGCCCTGAAAAATCAGGGCAGTCCATATTCGGACCCTGGATTTTCAAGGTGAAATTCAAAGGGAGCCCTGACCGCCAGAGCTGCTAAAAAACCTAACATAAGCCGTGGTCGCAACACTCGTCAGATCCGCTGGTCGTTAAACAGCAGGCTCTAAGGGGGATCCAAATCAACTAGAGCCAGCTTTGGTGTACATCCAACTTCGTAGGAATCCGCCCTAAGGCCTTGTTATGTGCTGATGAAGGTTCTGTAGCACGTGGAGAAGCTACATGTCCACGCATCGGCCCTGATCGGTACGCAGTCATTCCAGAATGCGGAATGAGGAATTCACACCGCCGTCGGTTGGATTTTTTTTGCCCGCATCCGCAGGCTTGTGCACTTTCTGGCGATCAGTACAAACCCATATTCCAGGAGGCTCGGTGTGATTAAAATGATTGCTTGGCTTTAAGCGATTGCCGAGCCAACTCTCGCAACTACTTCACACCATCCGCATTCCGGAATATATGCCTACCGATCAGGGCCATTATAAATGATGTCGTGGCTTGAATCGTGCGGAGATCGCATGGAAGGCAAAACATTCAGCTTGTTAAAGCCCGGCCGGCAGGTTGCATATTGGTACTGTTGAAGTAGGTAGGGTGGCAGCTTACGATTGGTTGACGAGGAAAAAGATGAGCGAAATGTTTTTGCGAAACTTCATATTCGTCCACCTCGTGCTTGCGCGGGAGTTCCCAAGGGCTACGCAACCTGGCAGAGGTGTCAGGTTTGAGCCCCGTCATTTGGCCGGATTTGAACCGGCCCATGGGCTCATCCAACCCAAGATCCCATCCCCCCTCGGTTATTTGACCCCCCAGCCGGTCCATTGGACCCCAGGGGCGGATTTGAACCGGCCCATGGGTTCATCCAACCCAGGAGGATCCCATCCCCCCTCGGTTATTTGACCCCCCACCCGGTTCATTCGACCCCAAGGGCGGATTTGAACCGGCCCATGGGTTCATCCAATTCAAGAGCCCATCCCCCCTCGGTTTCACCTGCCTCTTTGCCATGTTGCAAGGGGGGTTTTCGTGCCGGCGTTTTTGCGCTAACAGCCCACATCTTTTTTTTTTTTTTTTTTTTTTTTAGGGCAAGTTGAAAGGAAACAAGTCTCAACTATTGGGCTTCGGTTTCGCCCTTGTGCAATCAAACACACATTCGTACACTTTCGCTAAACCGCCTGAAAGTCAAACTTTGAACGAAGAATTACCCTTTGAGCACATTGTGTGCTTGTTCACATCGATACTTGGCAGGGACGCGAACTTGCCAACTTTGCCGAGGCGTTTGAGTCTCGTCAACCACTGCTGCGGGTGGGTTCGGTTACAGGTTCTCAAGATGCAGCATCTTGAGAAAAGAGAGTTGCAACATGCTGGTCGGGCTTTAAAGAAAAAGGTGAGGAACATGTATGATTACATGACGTAGGAGCGACCCGGGTTTGAACCGGGGACCTCTCGATCTGCAGTCGAATGCTCTACCACTGAGCTATCGCTCCGTGCTGATATTCTCACACTAAAACATAGTTGTCTTATTATTAAAAATAATATGTTTCAGTGTGAGCATCCATTTCTTGGATGTTAGTGATCTGCTCGTTCCATCCATGGCGCATCAGCTTCGGCGATCCAAGCGACTGGTGGCCGTCGGTCCCAGCGCTCGCAGCATCTTCCATATCCCGCTCCCCACCGCCATCTCCCCCACCGTTTCCGCCCTTTCCGCCGGTTCCGCCATTCCCCCCATTCCCGCCATTCCCGCCGTTCCGCCCCATGTTCTCCGCACCTTTCGCCGGTTCGTGCGCGATCTTTGCCACGTGGAAGGTAGTGGGCAGGCCAGGTTGATCCAACCCGTCCAATGGGGTGCCGACAGGTGTCACGCTACGATTACGCCGCCCTCCGCTGCCTTTGCTCCCTTCCGCCTATTTCTCCGCGCTTCCCGTGCGCCTGAGGCTAGCAAGCGCAGTTTCTCCGCCGCCACTTCCCCCCCGATCCCGCCGAACTCCGCCCCGCGCGCTGGTGGCAGCGCTGGGGGAAGCAATGGAGCAAGCACTGGCGGAAGCGCTAGCGGAGCGGGCGCGCGGAAGGGCGGGCGGGGATTGCTGGGCGTGACTGTAGCGGCTGCCGCTATAGCGGGGGCTGCGGGAGGCGCTTATTATTGGTGGGAGACGGAAGCCGCGAGATTTGGACCCGGCCCCGTTATAGTCACACCGGATACAAGAACAGGGTTGGGGGAAGAAGCCAAAAAGTCGATTCCTGCAGGAGATTTGGGTACTGGGGGATCGACCGTTGGAGGTGTGACGCAACGGGAGGTGGCTTGTAACGAGGATGTGGAGAAAGCAAGTAAGGGGGAGACTGGAGAGGGTTATAAAGGGGATGAGGTGGAGGTGCGGAAGGGAGAGGGGGAAGTGAATGGGGGGGAGCAAGTGGGCGTGGATGGGGGGGGACAGAGCGAAGGGGGACAGACAGAAGGAGCGAAGGTGATTGGGGAGGGAGAGGTGGAGGAGAGGGGAGAAGGGGAGGGGAGGGGAGAAGATAGGGGGGAAGGGGAAGGGAGAGTGAAAGCGGAGGGAGTGAGGGAGGAAGAGGAGGACGGAGGAAAGAAGGATGAGAAGAAAAAGAAGAAGGATAAGGAAGGGAGGAGGGAGAAAATAGGGAGAGAGGGCGAGAAGAAAAAGGAGGGAGAGGAGAATGAGACGAGTGGCGAGGAGGGGGAGGACGATGATGAGGACAAGAGAAGGAAGGAGGAGAAGAAACGACTAAAGAAATTAAAGAAAGAGCAGGAGAAGGAAGAAAAGAAGAGGAAGAAGGAAGAGAAGAAGAGGAGGGGAGGGGGAGAGAAGGAGATGAAAGGCAGGGAGGGGGAGGAGGAGGAGAGGGGGGGAGCGGAGGAGGGGAAGGGGAAGGAGACGGAGGAAGGTTGGAATATTAACGAGGCAGTGAAAGACATCGAGGGTTCTAGAGAGGTGCAGGGAGCAGCTGACGTGGCCGCTGACGTGGTGGCTGATGTGGCTGCAGACGGGGCAGCAAGTGTGGCAGCAGCGATCGTCAAGGTTGCGTCGGCAGCAAGGAAGGACGAGGCTGAGAGAGGGAGGAGGGATATGGAGCGACAGCTGGCAGCGATGCAGGTGAGCTGACGTGCCAGGGTGAGATGACGTGGCAGGGCGAACTGGGGTTGATTGCAAGTGCGGTTTAAGGTATTTGTTCTGATATTCTCGGTACAAGAATGATACTCGATATGAGAATAATACTTCATATAAGAATAATACTCGATATCAAGATATGATGCAAGTTGCTGTGCACGATTTTTTTCTCCTTGTTCTGTACTTAACCCTGTAACTCGTTTTAAGGTTTCCACCAATCACCCTCTCCTCTCTCCCCCCCTGCCTCCTCCTTTCCCCGTTATACCACAATCTCCCCAACCCAGAGTGTCCACGTGGCAGAACAGGACTCGCTGGCAGCTGCAGTGCGGGAAAGGGAGAAGGAGGGGGAGGCGGAGAGGGAGGGGATCGAGAAGCAGAGGGAGGAGATGGGGAGAGAGATGGAGGAGTGGGAAGAGGGGGAAGCGAGACGGGAGGAGAAGGAACGAGAGGAGAAGGTAAGATGAACTAACAGGGGGAGAGGGAGGGGATTGAGAAGCAGAGGGAGGAGATGGGGAGAGATGTGGAGCAGTGGGAAGGAAGTGCAAAGAGAAAGCAGGCGGAGGAAAAAGAGAAGGAGGTAAGATGAACTAGTAGGAGCAAGGGGTGGAGATGGATGGGGTGTGGTGTGGGTGGAATTGCGAGCAAGAGGTTGAGAAGCAGAGGGTGGAGATAGCAAACGAGACGGAAAAAATATGAGAAGGTAAGGTAGGCCTAAGAGAAGGTAAGGGGTTTCTAACACAAGCTATGGCATAAACCGCACCCACGTAGGGGAGATTCATCCTTCCCGCTATTAGGAAGAGGGAAGAGGCACTATTCCCTCGGCGTCCTTGCCCCTCCCTTATCACCCCCACCATCACCACCCCACCATGCCCACTATGCCACAGGCCATAGCCACCCTGCAAGCAGTGCTGAAAGAACAGCTGGCAGCAGGGGAGGCAGCAGCAGCAGAGGAGAAGGCGGCAGGAGAAGCACACCGAGAGCAGACCGAGCTGCTGAAAGAGGAGGTGAGTGGAGGGAGGAGGGGGGGAGAGGAAAGGGGGAAGTGCCCAGTGGGCGGCCAGTAGCAGCAGCTGGGAGCAGGGGAGGCAGCAGCAGCACACCGGAGCGGACAGCGCTGCTGAAAGAGGAGTTGAGTGGAGAGAGAGGGGGTTGGGGGGGGGGGGGTTGCGGGGGGGAGAGGGAAGGGGGAAGTGCCCAGCAGCACACCAGGGCGGACAGCGCTGCTGAAAGAGGAGGTGAGTTGTTTTAAAGTTGACATCCGCACGTCCGCACGTCGGCGAAGGGGGTTGAGTGAAGGGACCAGCGCTAAGTTGGGGAGCGGTGGCTTTTGAGTCGACTCAAAAGTCACCTAGTTGGGGAGCGGTGGCAGTGATGCCTCAGTTTCTCTCTCTCCCTGTCCGGTCTCCCCCTTCTCCCCGCACTCCCTCCTCCCCCCGATCTCTCCTTATCTCTGTGTGTGGGTGTTTTCAGCTCTCGGCTCTGAAAGACACCTTCTTTGCACGCTCCCAGGAGGACAGGTTGTCATGGCACGTGCATCGAGTGGCTCTGGTGAGATGCAGTGCGGTGAAGTGTGGTTTAGAGCTTTGCTTTGGAGGGGAAGTGGCAAAGTGTGTGCTTGGGAATTCACAGGAGGACAGTCTGTCATGGCATGCCCACAGAGTGGCTTCGGTCGGTGAGATGCAGTGCGGTGCAGAGTGGTAATGGTGTGTGAGCTTTGAGAAGCACAGGAGGGCAGGCTGTCCTGGCACGCCCATAGGATGGTCCACTGGGCCTGGTGCAACACAGTGCGGTGCAGGGCGGTTCACTGTGGTGGGCCGCTGGCAGTCGTTTCAAAGCGGCGCGGCACAGCTGCTAGAGGCTGTCATGGCATGCTCACAGAGTGGCCCTGGTGGGATGCAGTGCGGCTGAATGCAGTTCCTTATGGTTCCCTGCTGTAGTGTTGAGAAGGGTTGCTATGAAGTTTGTGCATTGTGTCAGTGGTTGGTGTGTGAGCTGGGAGGTAGGAGAGTTTCTTTTAGAATTCTCACAAATCTCTGAAAAAAGAAAAATCTGGAGTTTGTGCATTGTGTCAGCAGTGTGCGGCCTGCCTGGCAGTAGTTTTTTTTTTTTTTTTTTTTTTTTTTTTTTTACAGAATTCTCTAGGGTTTCTCAGCGGTTTGTGAAGTGGCAATAGGACACCCTCAGTCTTCTTTTCAGTATGCCATTGGCAGGTAGCAACCAGCCGTTGCAACCTATCCTCTGCTTCCCCCTTTCTCCTCCCTCACTCCGCTTGGTCTGCCTGGCTCACTTTGTTGCCCTTCCCCTTCCCCCCCCTTGCTCATCTTTCCCCCCTCTGGTTTCAGGCCGCTATCTCTCTCCAAGAAGCAGCTGAGGGCAATCAACCCTTGCAACCAATCCTCTCCTCCCTCCTCCACCACCCCTCGTCCCTCACACGCCCCTCACAAATACAATCCCAACCCCAATCAAAACCGCAAATGCGGTCACGACCACAAGCACAATCAGGATTGCAGCAATCCCCAGATCCTCTCCTCTCCTCTCTCCTGCCACCTGGCGACGATCCATTGGTCATCGCGGTCGCTGCCTCCCTGCCCCCGTCTGCGCTGGCCAATGGCGTGCTGACACGGCAGCAGCTGCAGGAGAGGCTCGAGGGGATGCGGGCGAGGGTGTGCCAGCTGGCAATGCTGCCCCTGACCAATGGGGGAGAGAGAGAGGGCGTCGAAGAGGGGAAGGGAGGAGGAGGAGGAGGAGAAAGGGTGGAGCCCGGTCTACTGTCTCAGGCTGTGGCGGCGGTAGCAGTAGCTCTTAAGGTAAAGGTGCTCAAAACTGGATATTTAATTGTTACTGTGCTGTCGGGGATTTTTGAGTCGACTCAAAAGGTGATTTTTGAGTCGACTCAAAAATCACTTGCTCAAAACTGGATATTTCATTGTTACTCTGCTGTCTGCTGTCTGCCCACTCACTTCTCCCTTTTCATCCCCATGGCTTCTCCACACAGTCTGCATCATGTAAACAGTTTCCGGAATCAAGCCACAGAGCACAGGCAGGCAGCAGACCCCGCCCAGGGGCGTGTTCTCTGCTGGTTGCTCTGTGGCTATTTTTGAGGCGCCTAAAAAACAGAGCACAGGCAGCAAGCTCCCAGCAGCCTGTGCCAAGGCGTGTGCTCTGCTGGTTGCTATGACACCCCTAGCAACCCCAGCTTGGAACTCTGCGGGTTTCATAGCAACCCTGCTTGAAACACTGCTTGCTGGTACCCAGTGGGTTACCCACTGGGTACACCCCTCCCTCCCCGTCTCCATCCTTCACCCACCCACCCTGCTCGAAGCAGCAGTTCCCAGCGGCCCCAAAACCAAGCCACGGAGCACAGGCAGGCAGGCAGCAAGCCCGGAGCCATTCTTGAGAATTCTAGAAAATGAGCAGGCGCTTTCCTCCCTTCCTTCCCATTTCTACCCACCCAGCAGACGCCTCTCCTTTGCTGGAGGAGGTTTGACTGGGGGAGGCAGCAGGGGCGATGGAGAGGGGGTCTGGGGCCGTCTCCATCGCCCCTGCTGCCTCCTGGGGGATTACAAGCATTCTGATTTTTGAGGCGCCTCAAAAAAGCATTCTGAACACCCCCACCTCTTCCCAACCACTTCGTCCTTTCCAAGGGGCTCACAAGCATACTAATGTGCCCCTGCTGCTCTTCCCAACCACTCCTTTCCGTTTTCATCGTTCTCCTCCCTCTTGCTGCCAAGCAAGTACAGCCACAGTTCGCACAGCCACAGTTCGCACAGCCACAGTTCGCACAGCCACAGCCAAGCAATGGAGCGGAAGCACCATTGCTTCTCTGCTTCAGAAGCAACGCCCATTGCTCTGAAGCAAGCAGGCCGTTTCAGAAGTCGCTTCTCTGCTGGTTGAACGGAGGTTAGGGGAGGCAGCAGGGGCGATGGAGAGAGGGGGGGTTGTCAGGGGCTTGACAATACTGACCCCCCTCGCTGTTCTTCTCTGCGATTTCCTCCGTCCTATGCCTGTGTGATTTCTTCCGTCCCTCTCCAGCGCCCCTGCTGCTTCCCCTCCCTCTTGCTGCCACAGTTTGCAGAGCCAAGCAGCGGAGGGCAGGCCGCAAGCACGGAGCAGGCAGTTTCAGAAGCATCTGCTTTGCTAGTCAATGGGAGGTTACAGGAGGCAGCAGGGGCACTGGAGAGGGGATTTTGGGGGGGTCTTTTCAACCACTCCCCCCAATACATTTCTGCCGCTCCCCTCCCAACCCTTCTTGCTGCCACAGTTCTCAGAGCCAAGCAGCGGAGGGCAGGCCACAACCCCGGAACAGGCCGTTTCAGAAGCCGCTTCTCTGCTGATGGAGGGGCGACTGGGGGAAGCAGCAGGGGCGCTGGAGAGGGGGTTTGGGGGAACACGGGCGGAGGGGGTGGTGGGGCAGTGGGGGGAGGAGGTGAGGGCGCGAGAGGCAGTGGAGCAGGCGGTTAGGATGTTGCAGGCGCATGCCGGGTGCATGGCAGCAGAGCTGCGCCGGTGACAGTGCGGTTCAGTGCGGTTCTGCACGGTAGTGGCAGGGGAGGGAGCAATGTGGGCCAGTGGGGGGCGGAGGTGAGGGCGAGAGAGGCAGAGGAGCAGGCTGTTAAGACGTTGCAGGCGCATGCAGGGTGCATGGCAGCAGAGCTGCGCCGGTGACATTGGTGTGGGGCTCAGTGCGGTTCTGAGTGGTAATGTCGGAGGGAGTGGTAGGGCTGTGTGGCCAGTGGGGGGAGGAGGTGAGGACGCGAGAGGCGGTGGAGCAGGTGGTTAGGATGTTGCAGGCGACTTTTGAGGTGCCTCAAAAGGCGCATGCCGGGTGCATGGCAGCAGAGCTGCGCCGGTGACACTGGCATTGCTGTGTGTGGTTGAGTGCGGTTCTGAGTGGTAGTGCTGAAGGAGAGGGGTGGGGTGGTGGGGGGAGGAGGTGAGGGCAAGGGTGGCAGCGGAGCTGGCGGTTGTGCATGGCATGGCATGGCAATAGAGCTGCACAGGGGAATGCAGTGCAGTTGAGTGTAGCCTGGGGTGGGGTGTGCATGTGTTTCAACTACTTGTTATGTGGAACAAACCGTTCTTTTATGCCAGTACATATCTGGTCTGCTTGTTAAAAGGCTAGCTTAGCTAGGAAGCTAGGAGAGGCATGAGGTTTAGCTAGGAGGAGCCATGGAGTGGCGTGAGGTTTAGGAAGGAGAAAAGTTGAGGAGAGAAAAGGGGGCTGGAATAGAAAGAGAGGCATACAAGGAGGGGATTGTACCCTCTACAGTAAAGTTCGGTAACCTACCAAGCCTAACAATTATATAACTCAATATATAAATTTAACACACCCCCTAGGCTTGGTAGTCACAAGCCCGCACACACCCCCACACCCCCTAACCTAGCACCAGGGCTGACGTTTCAAAAAAAGGCACTCTGATTTTGCCCCCCCCAAAAATTCCCGAGTCTGAAGGGCCATTTTTCGAAATTTCGCTACTCTGAAATCTCAGTGTCCAAAAGTCAACGAGTCTGAAATACTCAGGGTTCAGAATGTCGACTCAGAGTCCTGCTATCAAAAATTAGAATTGAATAATCGTAATGTGAGAGTACACACAAATATATCTAAGTTTTCTATCCTCTAAGAGGTGACTCTATACAGTCTATACAAACATGACAAATACACATGTTTGACACACCCCCTAGACTGCATAGGGGAATACCCTAAACAAGCAGCTCAGGGCGGCACTACTAGTCCAACCTCTGAGGCAAGAGTCTGAGCGACCGGTCAGAAGGAGTACAGACAAGGCAAGCACAAGAGCAGGGCGGCACTACTAGTCCAGCCACTGGGAGAGGACACAAGTCCAGTCTGAGTATACATATAAAGGACAGTACAAAGTCAAGGTCCTAGCAAGTGAGAGGCTACAGGAACTAGACCAAGCTGTACACAGTGCCGCTGATGATCTTTAGGCGCAAGCGCCTTCGTAAAGATATCAGCCGTGTTGGCACCTGAGGCCAAGTGTACTACGCGAGCCTGACGTCGCTGCTGTAGCTCACGCAGGAGGAAGTACCGCAGCTGAATATGCTTCGCTCTGCCCTCGAGTCGAGGCTCCTGACACAGGAGGATCATGGCCCTGTTGTCAGCGAACAGGACCGGGGCAGAGCTAGGCCGCTCACCTAAGTCAGTGAGCAAGAAGGTCAGCCAGCGGAGCTCCTGTGCCGCCATGGCACCGGCGTAGATCTCAGCCTCACAGCTGGACTGTGCAACAGACGAGGAGCGAGTAGCTCTCCACGAGACGGCACCTGAGCCAAGGCTGAAGCAGTAGCCCTGGGTAGACCGGAGTGTCTCAGCGTCGTCTGCCCACGAAGCGTCTGTGTGCCCAGTAAGGACCGCTGGACTGCGTCCTCCTAGCACTAACCCCATGCCCGATGTACTAGCAAGATAACGCAGAACCCTCTTAGCGGCAGACCAGTGCTGCGGTCGGTGTCTGCCTGTGGCCACAAAGCGAGCCAGGATGCTGAGAGGGTATGCGAGATCTGGGCGAGTGCAAGTCATCAGGTACATGAGGCAACCCACCAGCTCTGCGTAGGGGCCGCTGGGCTCTACCAACTCCTCAGGCACTGGAGCGGAGAGCCTGTGGTCTACAGGCAGAGGGGTGGGCTGTGCAGAGGAGAACTGAAGGCTGAACCTCTGAAGGACCTGGCGCACCAAGTGTGACTGAGTCAGGGTGATGGTGCGCGCAGCTCTGTCCCTGGAGATTTGCAAGCCAAGGTAACGGCGCAGTTCTCCAAGGTCAGTGCAGGTGTGTCTCTTCAGCAGCTCTGCCTTCACGGAGGCCAGCGCGTCCCTGTCTGCTGTGGCAAAGACCAGGTCGTCGACGTAAACGAGGATGTAGAACGGAGTCTGGCCAGCACGAACGAAGAGTGAAGGGTCTGCAGAAGACGGAAAGAACTGCAGGTCAGCAAGCGTAGTACGGAGAGTGTCGTGCCACTCACGGGGAGCCTGGCGCAGGCCGTAGACGGGGCGCCGCAGGAGCCACTGGGTCCCAGGAGGGAAGGTGCCAGTACAACCCGGAGGGCGGCGCAGGTAGACCTGCTCGTGTAGGCTGCCCTGAAGGAAGGCAGTGGAGAAGTCGAGGGAGTGAAGCTCGTAGTCACGCTGAGCAGCTAGGTGTAACAGAACCCGAAGAGTAGTCATCTTTGGGGTCGGAGCGAAAGTCTGGAAGAAGTCCACCCCCTCGCGCTGACTCAAGCCTCTAGCCACATAGCGCGCCTTGAAGACAGGCGGCTCTCCAGGAGGGCGCTTCACCTTGAAGAGCCAGCGGCCATCGACTACGTTCACCCCAGGCGGGGGAACTGCGTCGACGAAGGTGCCGGTGGATCTCCAAGATGCCATCTCCTGCTCCATGGCAGCTATCCACTGCGAGGCCCAGGGTCCCGAAGTCGCCTCAGCGTAAGTGCGAGGGGTCGGGATGTCGAAAGCGTCTGGGTCACCCTCAGGGACTAGCAGCATGGAACAGAGATGGGGAGCAGCCTCGGAGAGGAAAGCAAGCTCGAACTGGCGGTCCTCCAGGACGTCACTGCCAAGGGCAGGAGCACCCCCGACAGACGGAGGACAGGCAGGGTCAGAGACCAGAGCGGTGGCGTAGTCAAGGCGGCGGGTAGAGGCGAAGTCAGCGACAGCAGCGACAAGAGCGGCAAGGCACGAGACGGGAACAGACGAGTCGGTAACGAGAGAGGCAAGGACCCGAGGAACGAGAGGACGAGCGGCACGAAGGTAGTCGGACAGCGGGGGGGGCGCAACAACAAGGGAGGACGGAGGAGGCGACGGCAGAAAGGGAGGACGAGACTCGTGTGAACGAAGCAACATAGGGTGGGAGCGCAGGACAGGCGAGGCAGGACGAGCACGGGAGGGACGGTGAGACCAGACGTGCGATGGAGGAGTCGGGTCAGGAGACAGGGGAGGGGACACAGGAGGGGAACGAGGGGGGAGACGGGCCGGGGACGAGTCCGGCGGAGGGAAAACAGGGCCGTAGACAGGAAGAGGAGGAGACGGTCGGGGAGGAACCGACGCAGGGTCGGGGGACGGAAGGCCGAGCAGGCGAAGGGCGGAATCCGGCGGGGACTGCTGCTGCGGCGGCACAACGGCGACACCTGGACCGCAAGCTGCTCCTCGGCTACCACCGGCACTCTCCACACCCGCACCCCCAGAGGGACCACCCTCAGGGCGACCGGGACGAGCACCCCCAGAGTCAGCGAACGGGGGCTGCGACGGCGGCGGCGGCAGCGGCGGCGGCGACGGCGACGGCTGCAGCGGCGGCAGGGGCGGCGGAGGAGGGGACTGGGGAGGGGACACCTGGGGAGGGGCGGCCGGCGAGGACTGCACCGGAGGGCCACCAGAGTCAGAAGACTCCTCAACCGGGTCCACGGACGGAAGGGGGGTGACGTGGGAGACACCAGAGGGGGCGGGACGGGGAGGAGGAGGAGGAGGGGCAGGGACTACCGGGGAAGGGGTGACCAGGAACAGGGGGGGGTAACCGGGGGACCACGGTGGGGGAAGCGGCGGTAGTAGGAGACGGACTCGTCAAAGGTGACGTCACGAGAGTGAAAGAAGCGGTGAGACGGCGGGTGGTTAAAGTGCCAGTCGGACGCGTCAAGGGGAAAACCGAGGAAGACGCAGGGAAGGGTGCGGGCAGTGAGCTTGTCCGTGCCGGAGGCACGGACGTGAGCAAGGCAGCCCCAGACGTGGAACGCAGACGCGTCACCAGGAGACCCAGTCCAAAAACGGGTCGGCGAAACCTGCGGCTGCTGAGGGTGCGGCCACAGGTTAAGCTGGTGAGAAGCGTAGCGCACAGCGAACGGCCACAGAAAATGGGGTGCACCGGCATGGACCATGGAGGTGCGAGCGACCTCCATGACCAAACCGATGCGTCGCTCAGCGACCCCATTATGCTGTGGGGAGTCCGGTAGGGTGAACGTCTGGGTGATGCCCTCCGCACGACAAAAGCGACCAAGGACACCTGAGGCAAACTCGCCACCACGGTCTGAGTGAAGACGCAAGACAGGGAGACCGCGGTGGACACGTGCAGAGACAAGCCAGGGGATGAGAGCGCCAGGCACGTCGGCCTTGCGCTCCAGGGGAAAGACTGTGGTGTAACGAGTGAAGTCGTCGACAAGCACAAGGAAGTAGCGCTCGCGACGCGGCCCAGGGACGGGGGCGGGGCCCCAGACGTCCAGGTGCAGGGTCTGCAGCGGCGCGGCGGTAGGGGGGAACGAGGAGGAGTGAGGGGCACGGCGAAGCCGACCCTCGACACAAGGCGTGCAAGGTGGAGCTGGGGAGGAGGGAAACGCGGGGAGTGAACCTGGGAGACCAAGGACAAGACCGTGCTGGGACATGTGACGCAGACGCGGGATCGCAGGGTGACCTAGGCGGTGGTGCCACAGGAGGGTCGGGTGAGTGAGGGGGCGACAGGAGCAGGCAGCAGCAACTTGGGTAGACACAGCCACCTGAGGGGGCGCTCCAGCTGGGGGGGGCACGGTGTCCAGAGTGAACAGGCCGGACACCGGGTCCCGGGGGAACGTGGACAGGGGGGCACCAGTGGCGGCCTCGGTACAGACAGCATACCGCTCGTGACCAGGGAACGTAGTGGTGACGCCAAGGTCCTGGAGGCAGCCGACACCGACTAGGTTCCTGGAGAACGAGGGGATATGCAGACCTGTAAGAGAGCCCGAAGGAACCGCCGGACAGGGAAGGGTGGTGGAACTGCGGGCGACTACCGGACCGCCGGAGGGGTCAGCAAGAGAAACGGCAGCAGGAACAGGAAGCGGCGTCACGGTGGTGGAGTCGCGGAAGAAACACCGAGAGGCGCCAGAGTCCAAGGTGAAGGAAAGCGAAGCCGAGGGGTCTGGCGACGGAACGACGGCAGAAGCACCAAGACTACACAAAGCAGGGGATCCTACGCCTGACGCAGCAGGGGAGGCTAAGCTAGGCACACCTACACTAGGCAACAGTGAGTAATAAGTCGGAAGCACACTAGAGTCATCAGCATACATCACATGCAGAGCAGAAACAATGGCATCCATGTCCATATCAAAGATCTGAATCTGACGACTAAGCAAACTGTGCCAGTCCGGGAGGTCTGGCGACGGGCCGAACGCTGACGAAAGAGGTCGTCCAGGCGACGAAAACAGCGGGGAGTGGAGTGACCGATCTTACCGCAAACGAAGCCGCGGCGAGGACCGGTCTGGATCTGGTACTGACAACGCCCACCGGCAGAGCCACCACGCGGCACACCACCCCGCGCCCGTCCACCGCCAGCGCCGGGCCACCCTGGCGGGAGAACGCTCGACTGCC